CCAAAACCCCAAAACCCCAAAACCCCAAAACCCCAAAACCCCAACTGCTAACGTTTAAATTAATTAAAATTTGTCGAAATGGATGATACTCCTTGATTCAATAAGAAGTAAGACTGACCCTCCCCCTTTGTCTCTTTTGGTTGTTAAGAGCTGGAATTGAACCTTTCCTATAGACTCTACCTTCATTCAAGTAGAAAGAATGGAAATCCTGATGGCACCAAGGTAAGCCTTTTAGATCATTAAGAAGTACCTCATTTGATGAGAACTTTCCAATACTTTAACATTACTCCCAAAGAATATTTCTAGGGGAGCTATTTCTATATCTTAAACATGGGTTCATAAATTTTCTAAGTCATAGTCTCCAAGAGAGGATCAGTTCTTCTCTATTTTAGTAAATATCTGGAAAATTCTGAATTTTGGAAAATTTGAAAAATCCTAACAGAAAAATGCTGTATTAGAGTTGTTTCACCAAACTTTTCTAAGAGAATATTATCAAAATTGTAGAGCTTGAACTCTAATTATTCTCTAGGCTAGGGCCATTAAAACAGCAAGGAACAAAACTGATGGAAAGTTAAACCAAATGAACTGCTTTACTGATGATGAAACAATTTGTGCAACGGTCGTCCCTCACAGTGGTAGAGATGAGCACAAAGAGGATACTATCAACGACTTCAGAACTGATATGGATACTTCACAACCGGTATGTCATTGTATTTCTAATGTATAGGGGGGAAACCTCAATTTACTGCAAAGAGAAGAAGATACACATTCTGAGTTCTCAGCTCCAGTTAAAGCTGAACTCTCAAATTTGATCCCTGAAGCTAGATCAACTCAAAGATTTGGATCAAACCTCCAAGATCTTCAATCTGCTAGATTCTCTGCTCAGGAGATTGAAGAGAGTAAATCAATAGTTGAGAAATTCCTAAGCAAGAAAAAGGATACTAAGAAGAAGAAAGCGAACCCTAAACCTCAGGTATTTTCCCGCCTACACAACCAAGCTGTAGTCAAGCAGAAAAAGAAGGCAGAGATTGAACTTAAACATAGCAAATCTCTGAAAAAGAAAAACCTGAAGCACTCCAAATCTACTTATATAAATGAAGATAAGCTTTATACACTTGATTCCACTCCAAAGAAGTCTAAGAAATATGGGAGGAACAACACTAAAGGAGATCTAGCTTATGACGCCTGTGCTGGTCATAGCCTTTACCTCAAAAGCCGTGGAAAGTCCAGAAAGAAAGAGCATTCCATCAAGAGAATTAAGCGGAGAAGAAGCATGAAGCAGAAAAAAGTTCAAGATGAGCTTACAAAGGTACCTCTGATGTCGAACAAGTCAAAATGGATCCTAAAGTCTAAAAACCTTGATTCAACATTTAAGGATGAAACTTTATTAACGGCAGGAGCTGACCAGCAGAGGTAATTTTAATGAATCATTAAATTAGACTGATTGAAAGAACCAAGCAGGAATATATTCAGGAAAAGAATAAAAAATACAACTTTGAGCCTCATATCACCAAGAAATCCAAAGAATTAGCTAAGAACTACCACACAGTAAGGATTCTCTAAGACCTTTCTGATGATATTTAGGATCAAAAGTTGGCCAACGATGCTTTATCCAGAGAAAAAGAAGTGTTAGAGCAAAAATAGGGAGATCCTTCGTGAGAAATCTCTATCAAAAGAGTGCTCCTTCAAGCCTGAGATTGGGGAGCTCAATAGGAAATTAGCCTTGAATAAAGAGAATACTCAGCAATTTTTGAAGAGGCTCACTACTTCTAAATCAATGACTGAGAAGAACATTGAAGAGAAAAGGGAGGAGATTAGGTATCTCCAAGAAGTCTATGATGCTGATAATAACCAACAGTTTTTCCACCCAAAGATCTCACAGTATGAGAAGTTAGAAGAACTAGACCGGAAAAATAAGGGATATGAAAATATCCACGAAGCTTTATACAAAGAAGCCAAGATTTTTAAAGATAAGAAGAAAAATCTCAAGAAATCTTATAAAAAGCAAGAAAAATTGGAGTCTCAGAACTACAGAGTACAGAAAATGAACAAGAATTCTAAGAAAATTCTGAGCAAGACTCATACTAACAAGCTAGTCAAGATTTTTGAAGCTCTTGATAGTGATGAAGATGGATACATCTCCGCTCAGAAGATAGAGTTGTCCAATCTGTCTAACAAAATACTTGATGTCATTACCCCTCTTCTACTGAAGATTGAAGAGCACGAATTGAATATCAATTTCGAGCAATTCGCGAATATCGTTCTGGAATTTGCCCAGAGCCTTTCTGTGACTGATAGAAATACTATACTTGGCCCAGAAAGAGAGCCATTAAAATGTCCTCCAGAACAACCTACTTTTGCCCCAGAACTTTCTGCGAATACAAGGGCTATCAACGAGCTCGGAGAGGAGAGGAATTTCAAACTATGGGAGGACCATAGGAACAGAGGAGAAGGAGAGAATCAAAAGGAAAATGAAGAGCTTCAGCACTGTACTTTCCACCCAAAAATCCGTGACTACAGACCAGAAAGATTCAAAATGGGGATGAACACAAAGGATGAAATCAAGGAAGTATTATCAAATCTAATTTCACATGATTAATAACAACCTTCATCACTAGAACGGGGTTTTGGGGTTTTGGGGTTTTGGGGTTTTGGGG